CGTCGGCCGCCTCCGCCGCCCGCTCCGCCGCCTTCGGCTCCCACAGGCTGCTGTGCCGGCTGCGCCGGGACACTCAGCCATGGAGCGACCCCCCGCCCGGGGGGTGTGTCCCCCCGCGGGGTCCCTCCCGCGGTGCCCCCCGGCCCACCTGGCCTGCAGGATGCCCTGGTAGAAGTCGAGCTGGCGCATGAAGCCCGGGTTGGGCACGACGCCGGGGCGGCAGCGCCGCACGTGCCGCAGCGCCCGCTCCAGGGGCCAGCCGAACTCCTTCATGGCGTAGGCCAGCACCGTGGCCGCCGAGCGGCTCAGCCCCATGCGGCAGTGCACCAGCACGCGGCCGCGCCGGGCCCTGCCGTGGCCGTCAGCCCTTCTAGGCTCCCAGTGGCTCCCRCTGTCCCCAGCGTTCCCAGTGCCCTTGGATCCCTGGAGCTCCCAGTGTCCCCAGGGAGCCCAATCCCAGTGTTCCCAGTGTGCTCCCAGTGTCCCCAGCCCCCACTGGAGACCCAGGTCCCCAGTGTCCCCAAACACTCTGTCCCCCCACATTCCCTTAGGCTCTCGCCCCCAGTGCTCCCGTGCTCCTTGCACCCCGTCCCCCAGTGCCCTCCCGCCTCCCCAGTCTGCCCCATACACCCACCGGTGCCCCCAAGCGCTGCCCCCCTGTGCCAGGCTGCGACCCTCRTGTCACCCGCCACCCCCTGCCCCGTCACCTCCATCCGCGCCCCCCGCCGCGCCCGGCCCCACTGACCGCACGTCGGAGAGGAAGTGGAAGGTGTCGTTCCAGTGGGGCAGGAGCTGCGCCGTGTCCTCGTCGTACACCCGCACGTTCATGTAGGTGAACAGCGCGGGGAAGAAGTTGTCGATCTCCCGCGCCACGTTGAGGATGTGGGTGACCCTGACGATAACGGGGCGCGTGGGCAGCAGGATCGTGGTGGCGCCCGGTGGGGAACGCCGTGAAGAAGCGGGGCCCCGTGAGCCCTGCTGGGTGCCCCGTGCTGCACCCTGTCATGTCCCATGCCTTCACTGCAGGTGCCAAGGGGGCCCTGCAAGCCCTCATGCCCATTCCTTGGCTGGTTCCCCCTCTATGCACTTCTAGGTCACCTCACTAGCACCCCCTAAGCCAAACGTGTCCTTGCTCCATGATGGCCCCAGGCTCACCTAGCTCATGACAGCCCCATGCCCATCCCGCTGGAAGCCCCATCACACCAGCGTGCCCACCAAGCCAGCTCCAGCACGATATCCSCAAGCCCATCCAACCGGATGCCCACTGATGTTCTCATGCCCTCCCAGGTGGGACCCATGAACCTCCATCCCCACCCAGCTGGCACCCATGGCGCTCCCACTGTCTCCCGGTTGGGTGACACATGACRCCCCATGCCGACACAACCAAACGGCCACGACAGCCCCACACCCTCCCAGCTGAGCACCCCGCGACACCCCCAGGCCCACCAGCCTGGGCACGGCTCCTGCTCACTGGTTCTGCTGCAGCTCCTCCAGGTTGGCCGCGTTCCATTCGGAGCCCTGGGCGGGCAAAAAAGCGGGTGACGCGAKGGCCACGGGCACTGCCCCCGGCCCCCTGTTGTGTGCCCCCGTGCCCACCAGGTAGAGGTGCGGGAAGATGCGGGAGGGCCGGTCCATCTGCGCCAGCACCAGCAGCATCTCGTTGTCGATGAAGTCCTTGTGCTGGGCCAGGCTGTGCCCCGTGCGCCGCTCCAGCTCCGTCCGCACCTGGGGGGCGGCCGCGGCGCCGCGTGAGCCCCGCGGGGAGCCGGGGGCGCCGGGGGGGGGCTCCGCCTCGCAGCACCCACCTCCTTGGAGGTGACGCTCTCCAGGTCCGCCGCGGCCATGACGTCCCGCAGCAGCGCCCGCACCGCCCGCTCCGTCAGCTCCGGCGCCGCCGGCCTGCGCGCCGCCGCCCGTCAGGGGCCGCGAGCCCCGCCCCCTGGACAAGCCCCGCCCCGGACACACCCACCGGGCCCCACCCTCCCCGCAAGCCCCGCCTCTTTCCCCCAGCCCCTCCCCTTTGCTCCGCTCCGCAGCCAAGGAGCTCCCGGCAGAGCCGATTGGCCGGCGGCTGGCAGGGCGTGGCCCGGGGGCGGGGCGTACCCGGGCGGGGGCGAGCTGGGCCGCACGGACTCCAGGTCGGCCATGGCCAGCCACTCGTTGATGCAGCTCTGCTCCGAGGTGACGTTCGCCGCGTAGTGGGCGGCCCAGGCCAGCGCTTGGCCGCCGGGGATGTGGCCGCCGCGCGCCGCCTCGCCGCAGGCCCGGTGCAGCTCCTGCAGCACTGCCCTGCGTGGCAAGCACCCGACGGCATGGGCATCCACCACCGCGGGCAACCGAGACCTTGGGCACCCACCACCACGGGCACCCAAGACCATGGGCACCACCACTAGCATCCCCCACCACAGGCACCCAAGACCTTGGGCATCYACCACCATGGGCACCCAAGACCTTGGGCATCCACCGCCATGGGCACCCACCACCAGGAGCAACCAGGACCATGGGAACCACCACCACCACTATGGGCATCCACTACCATGGGCACCCGAGACCATGGGCACCACCACGGGCAACCAAGACATTGGGCAT